CAAAGTATGCACATTTTATATTTTATAAGGACAAGATCTGACACTGTACTTGACCAAATTACTTCCTCTCCCCCCCAATCCCAGCCCTGTCGGATGCCAAGGAACAGATAAACACAAGTTCCCCACGCAGGGGAGCGTCCCGCGGCCGCGGACGGGAGCGAGGCGCCCACACGCGCGGCCCTGGCAACGGACCCTGAGCCCACGACGCTCAGGGAGGGAGCCAGACACAGAAGGCCACGCGGGGTGTGAGTCCACGTGGGTCACATGTCCGGAACGGGCTCATCCACGGACAGGAAGGGGGCTTGCGGGGGCCGGGGGCTGGGGGGGTGTTGCTTTTGTGGTGACAGAATATTCTGGAGCTGACTGTGGTCATGGAAGCACAGCTGCGCCCATGATTACGGAATGGTTACCGAATTCGGATTCTACATGAGGAAACAGGCCTCTCAGCTGGTGCCTTGCCCCGGCCGGCCCAGGGAGCCCTCCCTCACACCCCTGGTCCCGCAGGCCACCCCCCTGCTGCTCTGGGAGCTGGGACGCAGTTGGCTTCGCCTTGGCGGAGCCCGGCCGACTTCACGCTTCATAGGCCTGCTGACCGAATTCGAGAGAGAAAGCAAGGTGACCCTTTGTGGGTGCCCTCACCTCCAGGACCTGCTTCTCTGAGGCTCATAGACAGGAAGGGACATCCCCAGGCCCACCGTGGCCAGCCAGGCAGTGGCTCTGTGCTGAAATGGGGGTGGGGTCACCCTCTGGCCAAGGCCCAGTCCTGCTGCAAGGGTGGGGGCCGCCCCAGCTGCAGTCCCCCCCGCGGCCCTCCTCCCCTTCCCGCTGCGGCCTGCTCGGCGGATTGGCCCACACCGCTGCCTCCAGACACCTGTTGCTGTCTGTCTTGGGTCCACTGTCCCCGGGCTCCATCTGTCCAGCGGGCTCACCGTGGCGGCTGTGGAGTAAGTGGGGCAGGGGGAGGCCTGGGCAGAGGTGGGGGTCCCTTGGGTCTGGGGAGGGCATCTCTGAGGTCCACGGGGGCCTCCAACTCTTGTGGCTGCCCCCTACACACCTAAGGGCACCTGCCCACTGCCCGTTTGGGCCCCTCGCGCAATGCCCTGCTCCAGCCCCGGGGAAGGATCACTCTTCCGACCAGAGATGTCAGAACAAGCTAACGCCGGCAGCCAGGGGCATGGGGACCCCAAAACATGGCTGTGGGAAGCTGGCAGAGCTGGGTCTGACCACAAGCGGCCCACGACCTCTGGCGGATGGCTCTCCCTGGAGACTCAGTTTCCCTATCTGCCCTATGGGAGTAGAGGCCGTGGGAAGAGGCAGGGGCCCCAGCGCTGGGATCAGGAAGCCCCAGGGCCCCCCCAGCTCCTGCCTGTGGTGGCCGGAGTGAGGCCGGTCCTGCTGCTACAGCCTGAGCTCCTGGACTGAGGGGCTGCGGGCTTGGGTGCCAGGAACGGCCAGCCTGCGAGGACAGTTCAGAGACCCCGTGGGGGTAAAAGCCTGGGAGGGGCCGGGCGGCAGGTCGGCCTGTTCCACTGGCCTCCAGCACTGGATAAAAATAGTGCCTGGTCTCAGAGAACCTGAGCCGACCCTGGGGCCAAGGGTTCTGGTCTGGGCTGTCTTAGCTCATCTGCGTGGGACCTTGGGTGGGTCCCAGCCCTCTCTGGGCCCCAGCAGCCTCCACGTGCTCAGGGAGGGGTCCCAGGGCGGGGGGGGGGCAGCTGGAGGGGGCAGCTGGGCGACGCCCGCCCGAGGGTGACTCTCCCATGTAAAGGAGGGTCCAGGCAGAAGGACCAGCAAAGGCTGAGCTGAGAGCCAGGGGGCCACTTCATTCATGTATAAGGGGCACCCCCAGATCAGGCCCGGGCCCACAGCAGGGGCTCAGCAAATGCAAGACGCCTCTGACCAAGACGCCTCCTCTCCAGGCCTCCCCCTGCCCAACCCTGGATCCGAGGTGCTCAGACGTCTCCATGACAACCAGGGCCTTGCAGGAGCTGGATGGAGGCCTGGGCAGCTGCCAAGCAGGAGAGGACCTCTCCACACTGGCTGACCCCTGCCCTGACCAGCCCCAGGAGGACAGGGCTCAAGGTACCCACAGGGGCGTGGGCCAGACAGAGCCCCCGCCCCTGTCCTCCTGTTGAGCCAGGTGGCTAACTGGCAGAGACCAGGACTAAGACTCCCACGTTGGACTGGCTCAAACTATGCTCCCCGTTTCCAACCTCTGTGCCCATTAGTGCCTTGGGGGATCTCTAAGGAGCCCGAGACACGGGTCCTGGGCCCCGCAGGTCAGGATTCAAATCCCAGCTTGCCAGCAAAGTGCTACGTGCCTTGGGGCAGGACTGCCTCTGAGCCTGTTTGCTTTCTAATCTGTAAAATGGGAGCGATCACCCCGCCCCAGCCCAGCAGAGCCCAGCAGAGCCCAGCAGAGGGTGGGATGGGCCTTAGGGGTGTGTGTGGGGGGTTTCATGACCTTGACTCTCCCTCTTTTCCTCCAACAGCTATGCCCAGGCTGGCCGACTCTAGCGGCTGGCCCCATGTGAGTAGCCGGGGCCCTGGGGTTTCTGCCTGGGATGCCCCTGGAGTCAGGGACACGCTGGCCAAGGGGGTGGCTTTCTACACCCCATGGGAAGGGTCTGCGTTCCCTTGGAGGAAAGAGGGGAAGGAAACACCCCGGGCCACTCACGACTTCTCACAGGTTTCTCAAGCTGAGGGCAGCCCCGCAAGCAGTGTGGATGCCAGGCCCAAGAAGACAGAGAAGGAGCCCGTGGCCAAAGTGGCCCCAGGACACGGGAAAGAGAGGCTGAAAGCAGGAGCAAGTAGGTTTGCAGAAGGCAGGGGTGAGGTGGGGGAGTGGGTATGGCCCAGCAAGGGGGGCAGGCCCTGGGCTGGGTCCTTGGATCTGGGGGGCGGGGACAGGGTGCAGTGAGGCTGCTGGCTGGGTTCTGTCCCTGCGTCCCCAGCTGTAACTAACAGGGCTGGAAGCCTCTGCTGATTCATGATAATACAACGGAAGGTGCTCCTAGGCTTCAGCTCATCACCTTCTAGAGTATTCTCCACATCCCAGCGAAGCTCTGAAGCTCGCAGGCTTAGTTCCCTGGCCCAGAGCCGGTAGCCAGGCAGGGCTGAGCCCCTGGGGGCCGCGCCCAGCCCAGCCCTTGCTCCCCGCAGCACCCCGGAGCCCCGTGCGCAAGAAGGTGCAGGCCTCACCACCCCCGCAGCGGCCGCCGCCACCCCCAGCCCCTGCCCTGAGCGAGGAGCTGCCCTGGGGAGACCTGTCACTCAACAAGTGCCTGGTGCTCGCCTCGCTCGTGGCGCTGCTGGGCTCGGCCTTCCAGCTGTGCCGTGGTGAGCCTGAGGCCCCTCCCCCTGGGCGTGGCTGCACCTGGGCGCCTGCCCGCCCTCCCAGGGGAGCTCGTGTGCCCCCAAGTGTTGGATCTGTGTGCCTCCCCTCCAGGGGCGGGTCTCATATACCTGTCCCCCCGCCCCCGCTGGTCCCCTTCTCCCTGGTGTGGACTCTGTGAGGAGTCCTTGGTCCCCTCACTGCCCCACTGTGCACCCCTGTTCAGCCACTGGCCTTGTGCGCCCCCAGGACGGGGCCTGGGCCCTCCCTCTGTGCGGGCTTTGGTGGAAAGCGCCTCCTCCCCCTTCCCCCACTGTGGACCTTCTCCGGGGGCCCTCCCTCTCCCAGATCGGATCTTGGCGCACCTCTCTCCTCCCTGAACAGGTCCTCACCCCTCATGGGCTTTGCCCCCCAGGACTGGCCCCGTGAGCCCCCTCTGGGTAGTATGCGCCAGGGAGCTCCTACAGCCCGTGGAGAAACATGGCCAGCCCTTTTGCAACTGGAATGAGGGAGATTTGGAGGGAAGGGGGCGCCTTAGCCGCGGAGACCGCAAGCCTTCCCTTCTGGAGGCTGGGAGGGAGGGAAGAGGGAGCTCTGCGGGGGAAGGCTGGGATGGCGGGTTTGGTCTGCGCCTAGGCCTGGGCTGACTCCCCTCCCCTCCAAGATGCTGTGGCTGGGGAGGCAGATGCCCCTGCACCTGTCCCTGAGCCGTGGGTACCTCCAAGCTCGGCCCCGGAGTCAGCAGCAGCCCGGGTAAGTGCTTCCATTAAGGGACCACAGGCCCTTGGGGGAAGGGGCCTGAGCACCACGCAGGGCAGGTGTGCGCTGAACCCACCACCTCACACCACCGGCCTTGCTGTTGCAGCCGAAGCCCGAGGCCTGGGCGCCCCCATCGGGACCTCCGGAGCCCCAGGAGGAGGAGGAGGAGGAGGAGAAGGCCGAGGTTCCAGCAAGCCGGGAGGGTGCAGAGAAGGCTGCTGGAGAAAAGCGCGCGCCCAAGGAGCCTCCACGCAAGGAGGAGAGGCCTCGGAAGGAGAGGCCGCGGAAGGAGAAGCCGCGGAAGGAGGTGAGGCCTCCGAAGCAGGAGAAGCCACCGGCCGCCAGGGAGCCCCGAGCGGCCCTACCCCGGCGCTGGGAGGTGCGCGAAGGAGGCCATCGGCACTGGATGCAGGACTTCCGAGACCCCGGACACAAAAAGAGGCAGGCCTGGAACTCCCCGCGGCGCCCCGACACGGACCGGCCTCCCGGACGCCAGAAGCACCGCACGGGCAAGGGGCGGGACTGAACCAGGCCCCGGTCCCGGGACACAATCCTGGGACAACCCCCCCGCATCCCGTCGGTGGCCCCGCGGTTCAGCGAAATAAATTGAGTGCTGCCGCCCCAGGGTCGCCTGCTCCTTTGAGCCTCCACGCCGGCAGCTGCCCGGGCCTGAATGGTGGAGATGGTAGCTCTAGGCTGGGACGCCGGTGGGGGCAGGAGTCGAGGCCGTGGGCGCCGTCGGCGATGACGCTGCCCTCCGCGCCTGGGGAGAGCTGGCCAGGACGAGGCCCCCGCCTGTCCCCCAAACGCACATACACATCAGCTAGTGCTTGTCGGTCTTTATTGGGGCGAGGATTGGGGTCCGAATAAATATGGGCGGGGACGCCACTGGCGGCCGGTGCAGGGGTCACCGGCAGCCGCACTCGGTGGCCACCATGTTGGGCACGTGGTGCGCGCGGATGCGCCCCTCCGACAGGCTGATGAGGAGCTTGCCGGCGTAGGCCGTGGGCACGCAGCAGGGCGGGCGCGCCAGGGCGGCGCCCCGGGCCTGCATCTTGAGCAGTAGCACCACGTGGCTGCCGTAGCGCGGGTTGCGGTCGGACTGCGGCCAGACGCACGCGCCCTGGCAGTTGTTGGCCTGGTACGTCTCGGGGATGAGCACCGAGCGCTCGGCGCGCAGGTCTACGCTCAGCTCGCGCAGCGCGCACGGCCCGTCCGCCGCCCCGGCGCCCGCGCTGCGCTGTGCCCGTGGGGGCCCGCTCCGCTCGCGCCCCCGCCACTCGGCCCGCAGACCCTGCAGCGCCTTGAGCAGCAGTAGCGCGCGCAGTGGGTCACCTGGGCCGCCGGGGTCCCCCGAATCCCCCGGGGCCCCGGGGCAGAGCGCGAGCAGGCGCTCCAGCAGCGGCGTGGCGGCCGGGGGCAGCCCCGGGAGCCCGCGGAGCTCGGCGGCCGCGGCCCGCAGCTCGGAAGCCACTCGATGCGCTAGGCCCGCGGCCCAGGGCGCGGACTCGGGGCCCTGCAGCGGCGCGGGGTCCCCGGCCGTGGCCGAGGCGGGTGGCAGCATCAGCAGCAGCAGCGGCTCCTCGCCGTCGAGCAGGCGCTCCTGTGTCGCGGGGTCCGACAGGTTGACGAGGCCCTGCGGGAAGCCGGCCAGCGCGCCCGGGTCCAGGGCCAGGCGCGGCGGCGAGGCCTGGGCGGGGGGCCCCCGCAGGGCACGCACTAGGCGCGTGAGCGTCTCCAGGAAGGGGTCTGCGCTGGGCGGTGGCTCCTTGGCCTGCTGCTCCTGGGGGGGCCTGGAAGGCGGAGTTGGGAGGTATGAGCAGGTACAAGGTTCCTCCCCTCCCCCTCCCCCACCTGGGCCTGCGCACACCTGGGTGGCGGGAAGGGCACTTGGTCCAGGAGGCCGTGCGCGGGCATTGGTGTGGGCCCGGGCAGTGGCAGCAGGAGCAGGGCCGGGGTCATCCGCGTGAAGCAGCGGGGGTTGGGGCCGAACAGCAGCTCCTGCAGCTGGGTGGTGCTCAGGGGTGCACCTGCGTGGCCTGGCGTGACCCGGGGGTGGCTTAGTGTTTGGGGGCCGAGGGCAGCCCGCCCTTGCCAGGTCCCTGCCTTTGAGAGCCTACCATCTCCTCGGGGTTGCAGGGTCAGTGTGACCCCAGGGCTCTGCCAGTCCCCTGCTGGGTGGTCCACGGCCAGCACCAGGTAACGCGTGTCCCGGGACCAGCAAAGGTTCTGTGGAGATGGGGGCTCAGCCGAGCTGGGTGGGGTGAGGATGCCAGCCCTGCTCTGCCCGCTGCCCAGCCAGGACACTCGGAACCTTGTTCAGCACAGTTAAAAAACCCCATTACCCGGGCGCCTGGGAGGCTGTCGGTTGGCTGTCTGCCTTTCGCTCAGGTCATGATCCTGGGGTCCTGGAATCGAGCCCCACGTGCTCTTTGCTCAGCAGCGAAGTCTGCTTCTCCCTCTGCCCACCCCCCTCCCCTACCCCCCCCCCTCTGCTGGATGAGGGCTCCAGGAGGCCTGGGAACCGCCCCATTCAGTGCCCTGGTACCTGGGTGCCTGGCAGCCCAGGCCCGGTGACCACGACCTCAGGGCCAGGCCCAGGGTACAGCACCAGCAGCACCAGCTCTAGAGGGCCGGCTCCTCCAGGTGGGGGCGCCTGGAACTTTAGTGAGAGTGTCGGCTCCCAGGTCACTGTGGCCGGGACAGACAGGGAGGGGACGACACCTGAGCCACTAAAGCCCAAGCCCCTCCCCGAAGCCCGTCTTCCATGCCTGCGGGGAGAGCCCCCACCCCAACTGGGAGCCTTGGGGACCTGGTGGGAGAGGTCTGACACCCCAACATGGGTAGCCCGGAGAAATGACCAGCTGCCACTGGTCACCCCTGACTCCTTGGGGTCTGAGGCCAGTGGCTTCCGGGGACAGGCCAGCTCTCACAGCAGGGACGCCTTGGTTGGACTGGCCCCACTCCCTTGGGCTCCGGGAAGGTGCAGGCACGGACGGGTTTGGGAGCCAAGCTTTGGGGACTTAGAGCCCCACACAGAACCTAAGGGCACCCGAGGAGCCTGGGGAGGAGCCTGGAGCAGGGGCTCTGGCAGCACCCTATCTTGAGAGTGTGGCCATCTCCCTTCTCAGGAGACCGGAGCCAGATCCCCAGCCCAGCTCGCGCCGCGGCCCCCCACCTACCTTCCTCCAGGTGCAGCACGGTCAGCCGCCGTCCCGCGGGCTCCCCCAGCCATGCCTGCAGCTGCTGCAGAGGGAGCAGGGCGGGCTGCCCGGTGCTGGAGGCACAGACCCCAAAGGTGGCCAGGTCACGGGGACCCCAGCGCGCCTGCCGCACAGCCTCGAGGAAGGCGTGCTCGTAGTGTCTCAGGGCCCCTGCCACCCGAAGCGGGGTGCTGCCCCTATTGCCCTTCTGGTCCAGGGTCACCAGGCACAGGGGATCCTGTGGGCTGCCTGGCGGCCAGTCCCAGTCTTGGTGGAAGATGAGCCCCCCCGCACCAGTGGCCGGCTCTCTGGCCGAGGCTGGGGTGCTGGAGCCCTCTCCTCCAGGGGCCCCGGCTCCCAGCAGCGGCCCCAACACCGACAGCACCAGGGCCAGTGGCCAGAGCAGCAGAGCCTGCATCCCGGCTGCCGCGACAGGCTGGGTGGCTCTGGCTTCTGTGGGCGAGCACCGGCTGTTTGTGCAGAGCAGCCCCTCTCCCCTCCTGGCATGTGACCTTGGGGACCAGTGCCGGGCCGCCGCTCTCAAAGCCTCTTCTGTTCCAGCCTCCCTGCCTATCTTCTTACCCACAATACAAGGTGCATCCTGTGACCAACTAGTCAGGTGCCTGTCCTTGACGAGGCTGTCCCCCCTGGGGGCGGGAAGCCGCGCAGACGATCAACAGCTCTGGGACAGATGGGGGGAGGGGCAGGCCTGGACCAGGGCAGAGGGCGGATGCCCCAGAGGACCCGGCACCAGGCCGGATGGGGACCCCATGTCTTAGTGCTCCGACCGCTGGGTGGGCGGGTCCGGGCAGTGGGTGGTCCCCCCGGCTCAGCTGGGGCTCCCCGAGTGCTCAGTCACACTGTCCCCAACGACAGTGAGCAGCAGCAGCTCTGCCCTCCTCATGAAGGTGCCCCCAGACCCACCAGCATCCTGTAGGGACACCGACGCCCAAACCCTGAGCTGCCTCTGCATGTGGTGGGGGAGCACAGCAAGTGTTCACCAACAGTGAGTGGGCGCCCCCACTCCTCTGCCCCATCGCCCCCCAGCCACCGACACAGCAGTGCAAGCCGGGCCTCGGGGAAGGCATTTAATGATCAGTGGGGACACAACACAGCCCCGTACAAAAGCACCAAACTTAGCTCTGAAGGAAAACACCCACCAGACTTGCCTGGAGAAGGGGCTGCCTTTCAGTTGGCTGGGGGAGGGGGAGGAATGTTCCCAGGGCCTTCGGAGGGCAGTGGGGGCCTCAGCATCGGGGGCATGGGAGTTGGGGGATGTACCCCGGGATTTGAGGGGTGAACTCCAGGAGGCTGGGGGTGGACCCCAGGAGCCGATGGGTGGACCCCAGGAGGTGGAGGGTGGACCCCAGGAGGCTGGGGGTGGATCCCTGGGGCTGGTGGGTGGACCCCAGGAGCTGGTGGGTGGACCCCAGGGGCCTGGGGATGAACTGCAGGAGCTGGAGGGTGCACCCCCGGGGCCTGGGGGTGAACTGCAGGAGCTGGCGGATGTACCCCTGGAGCCTGGGGGTGAACCCCAGCAGATGGGGGAGGATGGACACCCGGAGCAGGTGGGTGGACCCCTGGGGCTGGAGGGTGGACGCCCGGAGTCGGTGGGTGAACCCCAGATGTTGGTGGGTGGACCACCGGTGCCGGGGGGTGAACCCCGGGAGCTGGGGGGTGGACTCCTGGTGCTGGGGGGTGGACCCCAGATGTTGGGGGGTGGACTCCTGGGGCTGGGGGGTGGACACCGGGAGCTGGGGGGGGCAGCTGGGGAGGGCCCGGAGGCCCTGAGGGTGCAGGCCCACTGGGCGGCATGGGTGGCAGAGGCAGGCCTCCTGGTGGTGGTGGGGGCAAAGACTCTGGCAGAGGCGGCCGGGGGGGGAGACCATTCATCAGGGGGGGCGGGGGTCTCTTCACCCCAGGAGGCCCAGCAGGGAGGCTTGGAGGGGCTGGTGGCTTCTCCATCTTGAAGTGAAACTGCAGGAAAAACTGGAGAGAAACAGAAGAGGCTGAGTGGGGCCTCTGAGGCCCTGGGTGAAGGGGCAGGCTGGCCAGGGCAGCCATCAAAGGCCCCAGAACTGCCTGGACCCCAAACTGGCTTACCTGCTTGGTTTCCCGATTCCAGTGAGTCCAGAACTTGCCTTCGGCCTTATCGATCTCCCTGCTGGGCACCTGCGTGGGGCGGGAGCTCAATGGAATGCGAGGTGCCAGTGTCCCAGGCAGGGACTGTCCCTTGGCCCAGTAAAGCCCCAGTCAAGGAACAGGATTAAGTTTTCGGGTGACAGACTACCCCACTACTCAGCAAACCTGCCACCCTGGGGGAAGTTGCGGTTTGTGCTCTCATCTGTGTGGGCCCCAGATGAGGTTATGGGATCCCCGAACAGCTTGGCAAGGAGGACCTCTTACTGCGAGGGGCACCCGACCGCAGGACACCCAGCCTTCCAGAGGCAAGGACCCACCAAGGGGGCACCCGTGGAGCAGGCTGGAGGCCAGGAACTGGCCGCTCCCCACATTGCGGTGGATCTGGGGACCCCACATGCGCTACCTTGAAGGCAATGGTCTCATAGGGCTCAGCGGCCATGAGCAGGTACTGCCAGCGCCGGTCAGGAGGCTCGATCCTCTGCTCATAGGCGGACATGAAGCGGTGGCGGGGCATGATGCCCTCGGCGATCTCAGGGTAGTCAATCTGTGGGGACACAGCAGGTGGCAGCACTGCCTTTCAGGGGACCCTCCTCTCACAACTGGGCTCCAGGCTTCAGCTTACCTGGAAGAGGAGGCTCTGCTGGCCCATCTCCGTGTCCCTCTGCTTGGTCACTGCAACACACAAGGGTCTCAAGTCCAGGCCAGCTTGTCCTCCCCGAAGCTAAGGCATGGGTGTGGCCTAATGCCGCCCCCGAACAGGAGGGAAGGACACTGGGGGACCCATACTCGGGTGGCTGCTGCCCAGGGCCAGCAGGGTCCCTGCCTGAGATCACGGGGAGGGGCGCAGGCAGGACAGTGGGTGCCACTGCCCTCCCTGGAGGCCCGGGACAGCACCAGGCAGGAGCTCCAGACTGGGCACGCTGTGCACCTAAGGCCAGCGAGGTCTGCACCCCGTCTGCTGGGAGGGTGCCCTTCGCACGAGAGGTCTCCAGCCAAGCCTCCAGCAGCCGTGCCCCCACTTCCAGACCGCTCTCCATGCAGCTCTGAGGCATGCCACACTCAGCCCCCCTTAAGCCCTCAAGCGTCCCCCCGCTTTACTCAGGACAGACAACAGATGCCCTATTATGGCCAAAAGACCTTTGATGGCCTCTCCACAAGGATCCTGTCATCTCAGCCCTAGCTTATGATGGAGACCTGCCCCCGGGCCTTTGCACTGCTGTGTCCTGCCTGCAACGCCATTCACCTACACGGTTTTTCTACTTTTATTTAGAATATCTGCCTAATACCTTTTTCTTTCTTTCTTTTTAACTCCCAGGAACACAATTCTCTATATTCCAATTGAGCCACTTAACCACCTTTCTGGCAGGTGATCCAGGAATCCTCTCTGCACAAGGGTTCCACTGAGTTAAGTGGTTTCTTACACGGACCCTCCCCCTTCTCCTCCCCCCACCCCAGGGTCAAAGGAAAGGGACTCAGGGCCCCTCATCCTCACAAGGCTCCCCAAACACCAGGATAAGGCGCAAGGGGCCCAAGGGAAGCCCTGACACTGTGATGCGGTGGTCTGGGAAAGTTCACGGGAAAGGTGGGGCCCAGGGCACCAGGGACGGACCAGTGGGAGAGGCGTGGGCAAGGGAGGGCCCCTGCTTCGAACAGAACAGCAGTCTCTGTGGGGCTCAAGGACGAGGGCTGGGGGCTGTGGCGAAGGGCTCATTCATGCCCAGCACCAGGGGCAGGCCAGACCACACTCCCAGACAGAATTACCTTTGTAGCCTGGGCGGCCAATCTTCACAAACTTCTTCACCTCCACCTTGACCTTTTCTGGCGCTGGCTGGGCGGGGGCCTCCTTGGCCTCCTTGGCGGCTCGCCGGGCCCTGCAGGCGGGATGGATATGGAGCTGTGGCCCCTGCCACACAGGCCGCCAAGGCCACAGGCCCAGGTGCTGGGAGCTGTCCAACCCCCACACTGACTTCGGAGTTTCTATGAGAGGCCAGGGGCATAGGGGGGTTGGCTGGGGGTCGCGGGGTTTGCATGAAATGGGGATGAGACAGGCTTGGGGCACCCCTCTCTTGTCACCTTTCCCACTGTCCCTTACTAGGGAGTTTTATGTGAACCCTCACCTCTTTCCTCTCATGTCCCAGAAGGCTGACACTCAAGCAAGATCAGTTAGCTTAACCACTGAGGAAAGAGCACCTCCCACCTCCCACCTCCCCTGGCATCCTCCCCTCCACCGGCCCTGAGGCACAACTGGGCTGGCTTGAGACCATCTCACACAGGGATGCAAGTGACTCCTCGTTTACCGTGGAGGCCAGACCCTGGGCACTGGAAGGGGCCTGAGATACTCACAAGTTGGTCTGATGCTTCTTCCCTTGGGTATGTGCCAGGTAGCTGCCCTGAAGTGGGAAAAGCACATGGACAACTCAAGGTGGGTGGGGGTGGCCCGAGAGAAGGAGCTGGCCTCTCATCCACCAGGCCGCTACGGAATGAACAAGTTCTACGGGGTTCACACAAAGTGGAACGAAATGCACACAGAGCCTAAGAAAGTAAGTCTGCAAACGTCAATGGTCACAGCGTGCGGGACACGGCAGTCTTGCCGCCTGCCGTTGGGGGGGGGGGCTTAGTGGACCTGGCTGGATGGTGGAGACCACTTGGCACCAGTTGGCGGACCCACAAGTGAACATGCCCTATGACCCTGTGTGTCCGTTCTGACTACAGCCCAGAAGACCTGTCCCCAGACAGCAGGACAGACTACGTATTTCTGGACCAGCAGATGGACACTGGGCCACATCTGGGGATGTCTGTGGTTGTCATGCCCAGCACCCCCCGAGAATGGCCCGGCTCTGATGTCAGCAGTGCTAAGAGGGCAGACCCTGACACACAAGACTGGCCAACTCAGCACTACTTACACACAAACTGAAAACCACCACAATGTGAGACAGTGTGAAAAAGGATGAACGACATCTATTTGTTCCTGAATCAGGGCCAGGTGAGCACTTGTTAGACCATCATTGGGATGATCTTAGGGTGGCTGAAAGAGATGAGCTAGGGCCGCAACAATGAGATCTCAAAACCTGGATCTAGACCATCCGGGAATGTGCCCGCCCCATGCCTGCAAGCATGCATTCACATGGAATCGGCACTGACAGTGTTCAAAGCAAGTGGGCTGGAGGGAGCCCTGCACACCCAGGGCGGCAGCAGGCTCTGGGGGCACAGGCTGGTGAGTGAGCAGACCTGAGCCCCGCCGCCCCCGGCCACGCTCTGAACAATGTCCCAGAATTAACAGGGAGAGCACGATGGGACAGGGGTGGGAACAGCGAAGCAGCAGAGCCCTGCCCGGAACAGAGAAGGCAGGGATAACGCACCTCGTTGTTGTGCAGAGTCAGACACAGCTTGCACTCGTATGAGCCCAGATGATTCTTCATGAAATATGGGTCCTGCGCAGGGAGACACACTCCATTAGCAATCTCGCCCTGTGGTCCCCGCCCACCGTGAAGAACCAAAGCCTTCCCTTTGTCCAAGATGCACGGCCCTCCCTCAACTGGCAGAGAGGGCAGCTGCCTTCCTCCTTGGCAGGTGTTCTGAGGATAGAGGACTAGCAGCAGCCTGCAGCCAGGGGCCCCACAGGGCCTTCTGAGGCAGCACTGTGGGACCACCGGGGATCCCACGGACGCAGGCCACCAGGCAGGGCTGGGGGCCTACAATGCTGGTGCCTGGCCCCACCTCTGGGGCAGTTCTGGGCCTAGACGGCAGCAGAGCCAAGACAGCACTGCTCAGCGCCCACCTTCTGGGTGGGGTCTGTTGCCAACCACACCAGCATTCCAAGCACCACCACACAAGCCAGGTGTGGGAAGAACAGAAGCAAATGGGTTAAAACAAAGGCCCACGGAGACCCTTGTCTCTATGTGCAGGGGCTCCCAGGCCAGACAAGTGACTTTCCATAAACAAAGGCCGCAGAGTAAGTGCTTCCGACCCCAGGCATGGAGCAGACAGCTGGGGTTCAAACCCTAACTCCACTGCCCAGCAGCCGTGTCATCTTTGGCAATGACGGTCCTGTCTTGTTTCCTCAAGAGGATGTTAATAGAACTGACCTCAGAGGTGAGGGCTCGACACATGTCAGAGTTCAAAGTCTAAGTGGAACCATACGGTGACCGCTGGGGTTCACGACCAGGGTGACTCTGCCCCCAGGTGACACTGGGTGATGTCTGGGCACATCTGTGGTCCTAACAACTGGGATGCTCCTGGAATTGAGTGGGTGGGAGCTGGGGACACTGCCCACCTGCCAACAGTGCCCTAAATTTCCAAAGTGCCAAGGGATAGACTCTGGTCTGCCCACAGCTGTGTACACCCAAATAAAATGTCGCCCTTTGCTGCTTACACCTAAAATATCCACTCACGTGATGCTACTGTGGCTCTTGCCACTGACAATTCTCCATGTCTCTGGTAAATCAAACAAAACCAAAAAACTTCGTGCAATAAAAGGTCCCTCTGAACAGGAGTCGCTCTAGGTCAAGTTCCCTCGATTACAGACCAGGACCCCAAGGCCAACAGAGCTGGGCAGCAGGGCCAAGGGCACCAGGTGCAGGGTATACTGAACTTGGCTCCGTTGACAGAAGGGAGAGGGAGGGGCCGCGAGACAGAGGGAGCTGCCTGCCCGCCTGTCCACGGTTCAACCAACCTTGTTGATGTCGATGGTCTCCAGGGCCAGCTGCCGGAGGCGCTCCCTGCGGTCTCGGTTGCTCTCCGAGGAGGAGGCCACGCCTCCACTCCCGGTCTTCCCCCCGGGGCGATGCTGGAAGTCCATGGTGAGGGCGCTGGGGCTTTACCACACTGGTAGGGAGACCTGCAGGGCCAAAGGGGGAGGCCGTGAGAATGCAGGGTGTGGCCCGGCGGACGGGTCAGGTGAAGACCCTCTTCTTCAGCTCCAGGAGACTGAGGGCCCACAGTGGCCCAAGGACACACAAACCAGGAGTAAGGATGAACAACGACAAGTGTGGTGTCTACGAATGACTATGGGGGAGGGTCAGAAAGGAAGCCAATGTGAACAGAGAAGTGTAAAAGCTCAGAAACCCGAAATGGCAACAGGGGAGAGGCAGCCAAGTTCTCTCACCAAGTCTCGCCTCCTTCAGGAAGCCTTCCTCGACTGCCCAAGCGCACGGTGTGCACTCCTCTAAATTTCCTCTGCTTGTCTCCACTCGCTTCTCCCAAGCTAAATTCTACTTCTGTGGCTCAGCTGTAAATTTGCTGAAAGCAAGGAAGATCTCTATCCATCCACCTGCGTCTTCTGCCTAATGCACAAGAGAGATTCAAGACCTCTTTTTGACCGAGGCAGGCTCTCCTGGGCCTAAATAGCCTGGTTCCATTCCCTTGTTCTTTCAGACCCAACCTCCAGGTACCTCCCTCTGGCCTCCGAACACTTTCCTCTTGACTTGGTCAATGTCAGCCCCAGGCCCCGGGCTTACACCCATATCTCGTATCTGTAGAGGTGAGCTCACGGGAACAGGGCCCAGGAGTGAATATGACCCCACAAAGATGTCCCCATTCTAATCCCTGAAACCCAAGAACATGGAACCATAAATGGCAAAAAGGACCTTGCAGGGGCAGGTAAGTCAAGGCCCTGAGGTGGGGGTGACCCTGGGTTCCCGGGGTGCCCGGCATCCTCACGAGGTCCTCACAAGAGGGAGGCAGAGTGTGGGAGTCCCAGAGATGGGCGGACCTCGCGCTGCTGGTGGTGAGGATGGAGGAGGGGCCGCGGGCCAGGAAAAGGCATGAGCCGGGTCTCCCTGGGGGTCCCCAGGGGAACACAACCCTCCATTTTATACTTAGAAAAATACTTAATAACTTATATACTTATTTTAAATAAAAAGAGAGAAGGGACGGAGAAGCAGAGAGGGGTGGGGGAAAAAATCTCAAGCAGACTCTGCACTGAGTGCAGAGCCTGGTGCGGGGCTTGATCTCACAATGCTGAGAACACAACCTGACCCGAAATCAAGAGTCGAACAGTTAGCCAACTGAGTCCCCCCTTTTATACTTCTGACCTCAGGAACTGCACGGTAATAAACTTGTATCATTTCAACCACTGACTCTGTGGTGCTTGGCTACAGCGGGAAAGGAACACATCAGGGGCAGGCCAGCTCTGCCGTGGACCTGCAGTGGGACTCGGAGTCACCCCTAACTCTGCAGGAATCCAGACCTCTCCCTGGCTTGGTTCTTGTTCTTGACGAGCATATGAAGCCCTCACACCTGGGAACCAGCAAAGCGACCTTCCAGATGGCTGCTGAATCAGGAACTTATACCCGTCACGGGGTCAGACTTTTCATTACACGAGTCCACCTACAGCTGCCAACTTTTAAAGTTTTGTGACACAAAGCGTGAGAGACAAGCACTGTCAACTGTGGCATGCACTCTGTGAAAAAAAACTTTCATCCTGAAAAAAGAAGACCATGATACCAGGGCAGCCCCGGCCAGGAACACCAGTGTGCCACCTGTGCCATCGTCCACGAGACCAGGGAACACTGCACCCCAGCACTCACGGGGGCCTGCAGCCACAGTCTACCCAGAGCTCTGCGGTGCCCACTGCCAGACCTGGCCACAGGCTCCTTGGCAGAGGCCAAGCCCTGCCTGCACCTGCTGGTGAAGCACCTGACTTTCCCTGCAGGAGACTCAAGGTTTCTGGGTGAGGGACAGAAACTCCCATAGGGGAGGGGGAGGGACGCTACCAGCCCTCTGGCCTCCACCAGCAGCACAGATGCGCAGCAGGGATGGGGGCCTGGGAGATCTCTTTCCCACAGGTCCCGAGTGACTTACAGGCCTCCATGGAGAGACAACGCTTACTTCTCAAGGCCGTTACAGGAGGGTGTTCACCTGAACAACGAAAACTGGGTGCTTCTGGGGGTAGGAGTGTGCTCTGATCAAGTCAGCAGCCAACCAACGGGTGGATGACATCCTGCTCAGCGTCACTAGCGAAACCACGGTGGGAAGCCACCTCACTCAGATCAGAGCGGCTGTTCTCAAGAAGAAAACAAAGGCAGTGCATGCTCCCCAGTCCAGCCAGGGCTCAGGGGGGACCTGCGTGCTCCCCTGTGAAGCAGGCGCTGACAGCTCCAGGGTCCAGGACAGAGACATACCCTCACTTCCTGTCACCTGTTGTCCGGGTGACATCTCCAGAACACCCCCACTGACCCCAAGGGAGGTAAAACTACAAGAGTAACTCAGAAGGCAACAATGTTAACAGAGCCAAGAGTTCCCACCAGTTTGGTGAGGAGCCCAGTTCCTTCTTAAACAGCAGGAGAAGCCCTGTGAATGCTGGTGGCTGGCTGGGGAAAAGGCACCAGACGTGTCGCAAAAAGGGCCCATGGAGAGAGTGATGGGCTCAGGGAGACCGAACTCAAACGCCGACCTGGTCACCAAGGTAGAGGGAAACCAATAAGCATTGGAGACCCAAGCTTCCCGTTACTGGTACACCACTGCACACAGCATCCTTGTCCCCCCTAGGAGAGCTCATCCCCAACAGGAGATCATGGGCCCAGGGGCCCTTGACTGGCTGCTTGGGTAGGTTGTAGTTTTATTCTCAGAAGAACCAGAACGAAGGGCCCACTCCACTTACAGGGGCAGGGACAACGGGAGAGAGTCGGAGAGTCGGGGAGTGGAATGAAGGCCAGGCTGAAAAGAGGGAATTCCATCAAAACCTGTGTTTCCCCCACACGTTGCCCAGAAAGTCCAGCTGGAGGCCCACAGCCCAGCCCAGGAGCACAGCAAGAGCGCCAGAGACGGTATTCTCAGACACTGACAGCTGGGGTCCTCCACACCCCAAAGAAAACAGCAGCGTCTCCCCCAGGCTCGCTGAGCAGTGAGGTTCACCAGGTGAGAAGTGGGGAACTCACACACACACAGACATGAAAAATTCCACACAACGCCCCCCTCCACCATGTTAGTGTCCTCCTTAATTACTGGGGAAGTGACTACACCACCAAAGCAGAACAGCACACCAGGCATTATCAAGCCGAGTTAAAACCAGAGCAAAAAAAAATCTTTGGAAAGTAAAGATAGGACGATCCAAACAAAAAGCTAAATGTGAGAGCTTGGAGATCCAAGTTTAATAAGTCTTTTAGAAAGGAGAAGAAAAAAGGGAAAAATAAAAGAAGAGAACCTAAATGAAATCTTGGAGCAAGAACAGCAAGAAGTGTGGAAAGGATCATCACAGAAATACAAGAGCGGTCCCCAAAAAAGGGAAATAACCCAGGGCTGAGAAAATCTCCTCGTTCTGACAGAAGCACGTGAAACGCCTGTCAATAAAAACAATCAGGAAAGTTTACCCACCCAGAAAAAACTTTAGTTTCTAGTAAAGAAAGAAAAAGACCAGGAACAAAAGGTGGGGAAACCAGGAGGGAATCCGATTTTTCAGAAGAGCACTGACGGATTTTTTACCCTAACTCCTGGTCATTCGGGGTCACAGACAACCAAGGACTCAAACTCAGTCAGCCGAGGTCTTCAAAAGCCACCCCGCGATGCATCCCGACAGGACCAGGGAGAAGGAACACGCGGCCAGACGGACAGCGGCAGCCCACCCCGGGCAGCAGCACAGAAAGTTCTAGACAACTGCTCGGCTGCCCCGCGAGCAACCCGCGCAGACCGGGGCAGGTGTGGCGGCCTCTGAGCGGGCGTTTCTGTGGTGGTGGCAGGGGTGGAGCGGGGAGAGGACGGGGAAGCCATCAGTTCGTTTAAACTAGTAAAGCTAGGGCGACATACAACGGACAAGAGGGCGAGGTGCGGAGAGCTTCGAGGGGGAAGAGCACTACCGGGCCCAGGAAACCGGGCTACTAGGAAAAACAGAGACGCTAGTCTCGCGGGAGAGAAGAGCAGCACGCGAGTGAACCCTGACGGGGTCGCTAACACCGGGGCAGACCCCACCGGGGACGAGCCAGGGCCCGCCCTGAGAACACAGGGGAGGCGGCAGCGGGCCAAAGCACCCCGGCGCCGAGCCTCACCCACCCCCTCCTCGGGGACCCCACAGCGGCGGGCACCGCGGCCCCCGCGCCACCCCGACCCGACCCCGCTGGCAGCCCGCCAGACTCCCGAGGAGGCGGGACTCGTCTGGCCCGCCCGGAGCGCGGCCCGGGAGCGGGGGCCCGGGGGCGCCGCGAACCCAAAAGCCGCCCGACCCTCAACTCGCGCCCCCGCCACAGACGCCCGTGGCCCACGTCCGCTGCGGCCCGGGTAAGCCAGGGTCCCGGGGCCGCCGCCCTCGGCCCGCGCCTCTCCTCACCCCGCGCTCCTCCTCACCCCGCGCCCGCCGCTGCCACGAATACGTTATACGCACGCGCATCGCGTGCTAAGGGAGCACTTCCGGGGGCAACGCGGGGAGGGGGTTGGGGAAACGGCCTCCCATGTGCGCATGCCCGCTCTGCCCAACGAGGTGGACAGAGGCGCCGGAGGCGCGAGGAAAGGGGGAGGGGCTGAGAATAAGGCCGGAACTCGAAGTAAGCGTGCGCACCAGGCCCTCAACGCCTAACTCGCGCGGGGTCAGTTCTCACCGGAGGCCCGGCTTCCGCTCGTCGGTAAAGGGCGCCACCGACCGTGAGGGTACCTTCCTCTGTTCCCACCCCGGATCCAGCTTATTGATGATTATCTATAACGACCGTCTGTGTCGTCTATTATCGCGTGAGCCCCACGCGGGCTTCGCTAAACGCCGAGGCCCCGCCGAACGCCAGCGCCGCGCGCCGGCGATCCACAGGAAGCGTGGCTCGGGGGCGCGCAAGCGCAGTGGCTGCGGTAGCGCTTCCGGGACGGCGCTGTGGGACTTTTTTGGCGCGAGTGGGGACGGCGGCCGGGAGGGCGCGGTCAGCGCTCCGCGTTTTGGGTCCTGGCAGCGCCATGCGCTACAACGAGAAGGAGCTGCAGGCGCTGTCTCGGCAACCGGCCGAGCTGGCGGCCGAGCTGGGCATGCGGGGCCCCAAGAAGGGGAGCGGTGAGCGGGCTGGGGCGCCAGGGAGGGCGGGCGGGCCGGGCGGGCGGGGGTGAGCGGCCGCCGAGCCCGCGTGAGCCCGCCCTGTGCCCGCAGTGCTGAAGCGGCGGCTGGTGAAGTTGGTGGTCAACTTTCTCTTCTACTTCCGGACGGACGAGGCCGAGGTAGGCCGACGGCCCGGGGTCGGGGGCCGGGGCTCGCTCGGGGCCCGGGGGCGGG